ATCACCTTAAAACTGCATAATCCTGCATCGTAAAGGACCAGAAGTTCGAATCCAGAAGGGTAAGCGTCCACGCTTTTTACAGTTTTATGATTATATCTTCCTGGGTGGAGTTGATACCTTCTGCATGCTCCACGGATTATACGATTTTCTAATTAATTAAAAGTAGTTGAGCGCAGATTCCCAGCGCAATAGCAAACCGTAAAACAGTCACTTGAGGTAGCAGGGGCGTGGACCAATCTGAAGAAAGAAATTCGGTAACAATCGGGAGATGGCACCAAAAAAATCCGCCTAACCAAAGCGGCCTGTCTTACGGGACAGGTGGTAATAGGGATTTTATGGGCGGAGGCTGGTCATGATGTACGATACTAACCGACAGAAAGCCTTATTCGAACAGGTGAATGATCGAAGCTGGCCCGCTCTCCGTTCCGTTATTACAAAATGGATCGCAAAAGGCAGTATAGTGGTAACGAACGAGTGGAAGGCGTACAATCGTCTCCCCGCAGAAGATTATCTAGACTTCTCTGTTAACCACTCAAAGGACTTCAAGGACCCTACCACCGGACGACACACCAATGCCATTGAGGCATACTGGAGTAGACTGAAAAGGAAACTCCACGAGGGAGGCCCTGTATTTGGTCGAGCTGTGTGGACTCATACAGACAAAGTACAGTATCGTCTTTGGTTTGGCCTCAATGCCATGTCTTTGACAAATGCCTGGGAACTGTTCCTGTACCATGTTGTGCAGACTTATCCTATTTAAAAGTGATTTTGTTTTGTAATAAACTGCCATAATGCGAATGTATGCCTTATATTCAGGTGTACGTGTGTAACGATGGGGAAGGTTGGGTAACAGCGGCCATCGTCCATGTAACCTCCTGCGATGTTCGTTCGGCCAGCCCATGTTAGGCCGTCGCGGGAAGTCAAAGTTGCGCGTGAAAGTAGGCCTGCAACCGCTGATATAGCCAGAAGGCGTTTGAGCCCACTGTTAAAGGTATTATTTCTAGGTAACGGATTTTTTTGGGTGCCATCTCCAGATTGTTACCAGAAATTCCCTCGTATTTCCACGGAACTCCAATTGACAGCCCTTGTGGGCAGTCGTCTAGCGACAGTTCTTTTTGGTATTCCTTCTGCATAAAACTTAATTGCTTCTAGTCGGAGTACTCCTCACCACCAAAGTGTACTCAAAAATATTCCCTTTTTGTTGACCAGAGGCAAATATTTATGGCACTGGGGTGAAACATGTGTAGCAATAAGCAGGGCGGTTGACGGGAGGGGCGGGGTTAGGAGATCTAAAGGCGATTTTATCATGGCCTCGCTTTTAGAATTTAAAATAAAACGTCCCTTATCAGAGCTAAAATAGAGTAATAAAATCTACAACTGAAGGCTTGCCAAATTTTGGCCTTCATACACAACGGTGGTGTGGAGATAAGGTGGTTTCATCGCTGTAAGGACCTGCCTATTTGTCACATCTGCGTTATGTAGGTATATTTGAAAGAAGGAACATAACCGACGCTGGGGCAACGATCAGTTTCGAAATTGAACTTCAAAAAATGTAGCCGTGAGCGTTAAAATTAAACTATATTTTGTGGATGTTTCATTTTCTTGCTCTCATGGGAAGAGAGGGATGCAGATACGGATATGTGGATTTGGGGGAGGGAAGCAGGGAGGATGTGAGCTTGCCTCAAAAATTCTTGCTTTTACCAATGTAATTAACATATTAATGCGAAAAAGGAAGCACTTTGCCAAGTTATACTTCCCGTAGAGTTTTTCTAACGCGAGGGTAAATGGTGTTTGCATATGGCAGATTAGGGCAGTTTTTAGAAGGCTTTGATCTTCGTTGTTAGAGCCTGCAAAATACTGTTTTCAGTAGATGCGTTGTCTAACGAAGGTCATTAGCAAACCCCAAACACAAATGATCTCAACAATTAGGCAAACATGTATTTGCAGAGCATACAGCTTCCTTGAATAGTAGTCGTTTGGCGTTAGAGGGCCCCGAGTCCTCTTTTCAGAGACTCGCAACTATTTTTCTTTGAGAAAGCGCAAGAACATTTTGTCCTCTTTAATTAAGAGACAAATATATTTTTGTGGCGTAGAAACTGGTGAGTAGGCACAGGATGCTCGGTAAGAACTGAAAGCAGTTCTTAAACGTGTGCCCTGGAAAGTGAAAAAATACCACTGTAATGAAAAGTGCAATACTCATAAAAAGTTAAAAATAATCAGATGTTATTCATGTATTTAAGTGGTGTTTATAAAAAATCTGTAAAATAGGATATTTTTTAAGCGTACCTGTTGACAAAAGCGCTTTAATTGGGTGCTGCTCCGACGGATGTCTGCTTAATTTGCCTTTTTCCAAGGTTAAGTGAAGGAAAAAATTGGAATGTTTGGTCGGCTTTTTCCCTTCAGTGGAAATTGGGGAACATTTAACTGCAAAAATGAGAGAACTCTCCATATCGGAAGCTTTTTTTCTATGTTTTTTTAACATTGGGGACCCGTTCTAAGATTGCCAGCGCACAACAGAGCGGAAAATACTAATTTTCTGCCCGTTGCGTTTCTATATTACACATTAGCGGAAACTAAATCACACAAAAACTATTACACCGTGAGCTTTAAAGGTAACATAGCCACTTTGTAAAAGGTCTTTTAGCGGTTAGTTATTGCGTATTCTCAAAGAGCAGGAAAATATCAGTACATCTAAAGAGAACTGACAAAAGGCGTTACTACCGCGTTTTAGGGCATGAGATCACACGAATTTGCAAATATGACGCTTTAAAATCCACAAAACGTTTGGGTTTCTAAAAATAACCTGCGCGTTTACATCTTGCTGCATGAAATTTACGTGGTGAATAGAAAAAAATAAACTTTCAAGCACAGCAAGTTCTATTTGATAAGTTTGGGTTTACAGTGCGTGACCTATCATTTGAAAGATTCGCCGAAATTCTGGAATGCGTTTTCGATTAAGAATGATTACTTAATTGGGGTTGTTATAGTGATTATCTTGCAGCACAACCGTATATCATTTTGTACTCGCCTAGATGTCGGCTTTTGAATGCACTTATTTTTGACCTCCTGCAGAAATCACGCTCGGTAAAAACTGACTACTAATTAGCGTACATTTTTCCTATTAATTTTCGATAATCTTATAAAGTCAATTATATTTTACAGAAAGCGTGCATAAAATGTGTTTTTTTGCTCATTTGGTAGGAAAACACATTGCCTTCATATTTTATGCCCGAAGAAAGTGTATATTCAGGTTTTAAAAAAGTTTCTAATTATGAGATTTTTAAGACCATGCGATAACTATGCATGCAAGACCGCACATGCTCGATTACAAATACTCCTTAACACTGTCCGAATCCATTGCAAAATTTCATTAAATCTGTGTGGTATCTACTTATAGGCATAGAGGGATATATGATTTTTCTTGCACAAAAAGCATGCATCCTGCAGACTGAAATTACTAAGAGCTGGTAAAATGGCAACTCAGTCTGAAAATTATTCAGGAATTGAGAAACTTTTTTAAAACCTAAATACACAATTTCCTTGGGCATAAAATATAAAAGCAATGTGATTTCCTACCAAATGAGCAAAATAAAGCATATTCTTGTGCACGTTTTCTACAAAATATATTTGAATTTATAAGACCATCGAAAATCAATGGGAAAATGCATGCTACTTAAGTAGTCAGTTTATACCGAACATTGTATCTGCAGAAGGTCAAAATAAGTGAATCTAAAAGCGGTCCTCCTGGCAAGTCCGAAATGTTATAGGCTTCTGCTGTATGATAAGTAGTATAACAACCCCACTTAAGCAATCCTTCGTAATGAAAAACGCATTCCAGACTTTTGGCTAAAACTGTATGTCATTCTCTATTCATTAAAAACACGCGGATGAACCAACCTAGGTTCTTTTGGTTTTTAGCATAGAACACCAACGGCATGCAAGATAACGTAGACTTCCGCCAACATTTTTAGATATTTTGATTGATAAAATTATTTACAAGTATACTGTGTACTCAGGAAGGACATTTTCCGGAATAGGCTAGGCGAATCAGTAGAAGGTGCAACATTTTAGTTATCCACAACTGGTCGTCTCAATTTTCGCCAGATAAAAAAAGCGTTCTCTTGTGAGCTTCTCTCTAAGATGTGTTTTACCCTGGTGTTTTGCTGACGGATATTGGCATGTTTCATCTTCACCCAAGGTCAGCTAACATAGGGTAAAATTTGAGACGTCTGGCCGGCTTCTTCCTTCCCCTGGTAATTTGTTATAAGTATCCTCTTGCAAATGAATTAACTCACTTTTCCTACGTATTGCAGTCTTTTTTGCTATTTTACTTTTTTACTCCGTTCTGAGATTGCCCATGCACAACAAAATGGCCTTATAAATACACAGATACCGCTATAACGACTAATCTTTCACTCGTCATGTTTCTAAATTACGCATTAGTAAAAATAAGACCATACAAAAAGTGTTATACCGTATACTTCAATAGCCACATTATGGAAAGCTGTAAGCGGTAAGTTACTGAGGATTTGCAAACGACAGGCAAGCATCAGTATGCTTAAACAATGCGTCGTTAGTAGGCGTTGCTACTGCAAATCTGATTTTTTAAAACGATAAATTATCTGATTTTCGGAAAATAACCTGCTTGCCTTTGCCTTGCTTTATCTGATTTGCATGGTAAGAAGATTAATTTCCGAGTGTGACACGTTATATTTGGTTTACTTGGCTTACTTGGAAACCCACAACCTCTTGTCCAATACACAATATGGTTTCCGTAGGGGAAGATCATGTGTTACGAACTTGCTATACATAATGCAAAGTTGGACACGAGCACTGGACGCAAAACACACCGTGCATGTTGCCTATATTAATTTTCGGAAGGCATTTGACAGTGTCTCCTACACAAGTTGAGAATTATGGGCATCGGTGGCAAACTTCTCAAATGGATCGAAAATTTCCTTGTCGGCCACTCCCAAATTGTCTGCGTAGAACAACAGCAATCAAGGTGCACATTCATAGAGAGTGGGGTCCCACAAGGCTCGGTGCTCGGACCAACTCTCTTTCTCTCGTTCATCAATGATTGCGTAGATGGGTTGGACTGTGATTGTGCTATGTTTGCGGACGACATAAAAATCAGGAAAGTCATCCAGAATGCTGCCGATGAGACCAACTTCCAAGAAAATCTTTGTCGGTTGGACGAGTGGTCCCGCAGATGGCTCTTGTCCTTCAATTTGAACAAATGCACCATTCTGCGCCTCGGAAATCAGAGCCCTAGTACGCGGCAATACCATCTGAACGGAATGCCACTCCGAGAAGCAGAAACTCAGAAAGATCTCGGAGTTTGGGTTGTAGACAGCCTAAAGCCTTCTACACAATGCTGTAAGGCGGCCAAGGCCGCAACGTCAATGCTATATGCCATCAAGCGGGCATTCGTAGTTTTCGATGAAGACTGCTTCACCAAAGTCTTCGGCACGTTTATAAGGCCCCATCTCGAATATGCAATTCAGGCCTGGAGACCGTGGACGCACCAGGATTACGATCTGCTCGAACGGGTGCAGAGGCGAGCCACAAAATTAGTAAGAGGTCAAAGTGCACTGCCATACGAGATCCGCTTAACTAACCTTAATCTCTATCCTCTGAGTTATAGGCAGTTGCGCGGAGACATGATACAAGCTTTCCGTATCGTGCGCGGCTTGGATTGTGCCCTTCGGTGCGATGACTTTTTCCAACTCGCCACCACAACTCACCTCCGGGGACATCCCTTCAAGCTACGTGTGCCACAGGGTAGACTGAATGTGAGAAAATATTTCTTCTCCAACCGTGTCCTGGAACCGTGGAATAACCTGCCCGAGACGGTTGTTATGTCTCAATCTGTGGAGACATTTAAATGTCGCCTTGACAGATATATGCTGCAGCAACAAGCGGACTATGTGACTTTTTAACCATGTGACTAGTGACATATGTGAATCAATGTATGCATTCACTTAATGCTGGATGTTTCTTCACATTTTTGCTTGTTTATCGATTTTTTATGTACAAATAGGGAGTTCAAAGGCGTAAGCCTATTTCCCTCAAATACACTGACTGACTGACTCCATTTCCTTAAAACCAGTCGCGGTTGCGCAAACTAAGTTAAAAATAGGCATTAGCACATAACAACGGCGTAAGATAAGGTAATGCGGACTTTCGACCAAAGCTGTAAAAGTTTGGACAGACAAAATTATTTTTAAACACGATTTGAGTACAAAAACGACGCTTCCCGGTAAAGGCTAGCCGAAGAAGCAAAATGTGCAGCATTCTAGCTGTTCAAAATTGGTCGTCTCAATTTCCATCATCAGGATTTATGAGTTAGACTACATAGTGTAATTTCTAGATAATTAAGCCACGGCGGGGTGCTGAAATTTTAATGCACTTGCATCCGGCCGCATGGAAATAAAAAGTTAGCTAACTTTGCTGTTTAAATTGCATAATTTTAGCTTACTTTTAATGCCCCTATAGGCTCAGATATATTTTATAAAAGGCATACACAAACATATATTCCTTCCTATTCTCATTCGGAAGTCGGTTACGTTTGCCTTAACGCTTATACTTGAAAACTGGGTGTATTTTCTTCGCTTAAAGGACCTTCAAATAAGAGACGTTGCAAGCCCGTGAAATGCCCATTTAAATGGCATTGCCTAATCTGTGCCTTAACATACTAATGCAGCGTATGAAGCATGTTAAATGGTCAGCATCCATTACAAACTCTTGTAGGGTCTACGTGGTACCTTTTTCTTTCTACACAATGCAAGCAACTTGTGGTTTGGGAACCCTAAACGCCAGCGCAGTTACGGCTTGGGTTTACAGTTATTAAGAACTAAAATTTTCTGTAGCCGAAAACCATCTTTCCTTATAGACAGCGTAATTTGCTACCAAATGAGTGCAAAAGTACGATTCTGTGCGTGTTTTCCACAAAACGTAATTAAATTTAGAAGTTTATCGGAAATCAATAGGACAAATTCGTACCACTCAAGTAGCCTTTTTTTACCCCGTTTGGTTTTCTGAGTCGGCCGAAAAGAAGCTCATCAAAAACAACCGGCATTCCGGCGCGACTGAATTATCCTGGTGGCAAGCTGCGCGAAAATCAATACTACAACCCCACATGGAAAATGCTTTTTAATCGGAAACACTTTTGCCGAGTTCGGCTAAAATGTCATGGGCTAGATCAGATACTGCGACCCGTGGCTCAGTTAGTAGATCTTTTGACTCAATGGCCGAGGATCTCGGGTTCGAATGCCGGTTGACTATGCCTGACTGATGACGGTTAATGAGTCGGAAATGTCCAATCCCTTGCATTTGTCGGGACCCTTATTCTGCATACCCTGTTGGTCGTTTTGTGACTACCTGTGGATTGGGAGTAGGATGAAAGAGCACAGTAGATGCTCTGTAAACTTTAAACTAATTCACGCACAAGCCACCTTTACTGCTCCTACCTTGCTGTAAAACACACGGTGGTCATCATCGGTAACGACGGTCATGAAATCTCAACATAGGTTCCGAAATGCGTTTTCATTTCGAAAAAATTGATTAAGTAGGGTTGTAAAACCAATGATCTTGCAACACAATTCTATAATAATTCAGTTACCTGCGGATGCCCGCTTTTAAACAAATCACTTTCGGGCTTTATGCGCAAAGTACACGCTGACAAAATGGCTACTTAAATAACATGAATTTTTCCCATTGATTTTCCATGTCCTTAAATATTGAACTATATTTCATGGAAAACACCCATAAAAATATTCACTTTTTGGATCATTTAGTAGAAAATCATGTTTTCTATGAATTTTGACTCGGAGGAAGGGTATAACTTAATTTTGTAAAACCTTTCTAATTCCGAAATAATGTTTAACCCGGCCTGCCGCTACACTTACATTCAGATTTTCCAAACTACGAGCATTATATTTTCCGCGTACGAAAAAGCACACATTTTTCTACGTTATTAAGAGAAGACCATGAGGGTTTCATAAAATTAAGCAGTGTATTTGAGCCACATTGTTAGCTTTACAAGACACATTGGTAAATACAGAGACATGACGATTTATGAAGGGCCATTTCACGGTATTAAAAATATCACAATTGGAAACTTCTTTAAAACCTTAATGTACCCTTTTGTCGAGTGTAAAGTTTAAAGAAGACGTAATTGTCTACTGAATGAGAAAAAAAATAAATATTTTCATGCACGTTTTCTATGAAATATAAATAAATCTTTAAGAGCGTCAGAAATCACTGAAACAAATGCATGCTACATGAGTAGTCATTTTTTTCTGAGTATGGCTTTTAGATGCAGCCGAAAAGAATTTCGTTCGAAAGCCGGCGTCATAGTGTAACTGAATTATTATAGAATTATGCTGCATGCTGAATGGTTTTACAACCCTACTTAAGTAATTTTTTCGAAACTGCAACGCATTTCAGAATGTCTGTTGAGATTTAATGAGTTAGCCCACCTATTGTACATTTTTTGAGTATTTTCAACAAACTGACGCAGTGTTTTCATCTAGACCGGTCAAACGAACAGTTTTCCAAAATATCCATTGATATTTTGACAGATTTTGAATAATTCATATTGACCCAACTGTGAAAAACTCGGCGCCTCGGTGGGATTCGAACCCACGCAGTAAGGGGGCAGGCTTTAGTACAGCCAGCGCTCTAACCACCTGGCGGGGCGTCGTAGCTCAGGTGGTTAGAGCGCTGGCTGTACTAAAGCCTGCCCCTTATTGCGTGGGTTCGAATCCCACCAAGGCGCCGAGTTTTTCACAGTTGGGTCAATATGAATTCCACAATATCGTCATGAATAATAAAGCACCTTTCTCTTCCCTCTGAGAGGAGAAATTCAATCATTGTAAAGAAGGGAAGTCCGTGTTAACGTGAGCACTATCCAGTTGGTCATGGTGTATCATTCAGGTTTTGCGCCACGCCCTGCTAAAATGGCCACGGTACAATGAATCCGTGTAGCAAGCGTCAGTTACTATGTGACAGGATCCAAACTTCATGTCGACGCAACAGGCTGGATGAATGTCATCGTGCAAATTTAGAGCTTACTGACATAACCATGACTAGGGGGTGATAATCATTCATCAGATCGAATGCAGGAAGTGGAAGAAATTAGAAAAACAGCACCGCCGGAGAGAAAAGACGCTTTTGTTTTTTATGCAAATTGGGGAAATCAAGTCACTTAAATTACCAGACAGGAAATCCCACACAAAAGTTTGGAAGTCTACGGAAAAATTTGTTTGGTGTTCCTCAGTCGGACAGATATGTGTTCGTATCCATACTGCGCGTCCTCAAAGGTAAATATATCCGAGGACTAAAATCCGAAATTCGTCCTCAGATCAGCTTCAGCAGCAAACTCGGCAGCCTCATACACCATGAATGGCAGGTTAGGATACGCCAAAGTTCCAATGTATGATGATGCAGTCCTTTTAAAAGATTTGTTAAAGCTGTCTGTCAAGATAATGGAACTGATTTCACGCGATTAAAGGTGATACGGCAGATTCACAGCGCTCATAATTAGCTAATAAATGGATGCGCTATCTCCTTGATGTGTCCACTTATACTGTTCTCATCAACCACAGGCAATCATTGTTAGATTTTATTGGTATGAAAGTGATGTAGAACAATTCCTCTACGGGTAGAAAAGCGCTCATCGATCGTCTTTACGGAACTGACTCTTTCCATTGTGCAAGAGAGCCCGAAAGACACAACGGAACTAGTGTATTCGTAAAGACGGTCGGTGAGCGTCCCTCAATCAGTATACTGTAGGTGGATTGACTCATGAAATCAAAACCGAAATTCGCAAATGCGTTTTTGTTTCGAAAAGATTAATTAAGTGTGGTTGTAAAACCAATCAGCCTGCAACATAATTTTATAATATATCAGCTACCTCAGGATACCGGCTTTTGAAAGAACTTCCTTCCGGCTGCATGAAAGAGCTATACTCAGTAAAAATGACTACTTAGTTAGCATGAATTTTTTAAATTGATTTTCGATGCCCATAAATGTCCAATAATATTTCGTGGAAAACATGCATAAAATATTTATTCTTTCACTCATTTGTTAGACAATTGCGTCTTCTTCCAATATTATACTCGAAGGAATTGTGTAATTCGGTTTTCAGAAACTTTTCCAATTCTCGAATAAGTTTGAACACGCTCTCCCGTTACGCTTGGATTCGGGGTTTCCAAATTACAAACCGTATATTTTCCGCGTACGGAAAACCACACATTCCTCTACGGTAATAAAGGAGAACCATATAAGTTTCATAAAAATTAGTAGTGGATTTGATCTAAATTGTTAACTTTACAAGCCACATTCGTCAATGAAGAGACATGACGATTTATGAACGGCCATTTCACTTTGTCTAAAAGTCCCTCAATTAGAAACCTTTTTAAAACTGAACTTTATCCCTCGTTCGAGTATAAAATAAGAAGAAGACGTTACCATCTATCGGAAGCCGACATCCTGACATAACTGATTTATTATAGAATTATGTTGCAGGCTGATCGGTTTTACAACCCTACTTAATTAATCTTTTCGAAATGAAAACGCATTTCGGAATTTCGGTTGACATTTCATGAATTAGCCCACCTTCTGTAGGTTTCCACCGGCCTTCCGCACAGTCCTGCGACTCTTGACTGGGATGGCTGAGAACTTCCACCCTCCGTAACTATCTCTTCAACAAAAGTACCCAACGACTTTGCTGTATTTTCGGACGACCAGTTCACGATGAACTGCGTGGTTATTTCGTTTTACCGAGGATTATTAACGCCAACAGGCTCGGTATCGCTTAAAATGACCGAATGGCCGTTCCCTTTCCCGTCCTAGCCTGAAATAGTGGACAGAGTCGAAAGTGGTCAATACTGACTTGTAGCATGCGACGCTAACTCATGAAATATCAACTGAAATTCCAAAATGCGTTTTCGTTTCAAAAAGATTAATTAAGTGGGGGTGAAATCGAAGCAGTCTACAGTATTATTAGATAACAATTCAGTTGCCTCATGATACCGGCTTTCGAAAGAACCTCCTACCGACTACATGCAGAAACTATACTCCGTAAAAATGACTACTTTAGTAGCATGTATTTTTCCCATTGATTTTCGATTCACTTAGAAATCCATTTATATTTCATGGGAAACATGCATAGACACATTTATTCCTTTGCTTATTCGATAGACAATAACGTCTTCTGCCAATCATATACTCGAAAGAGGGGTACAATTCGGTTTTCAAAAACCTTTCCAATTCCCAAATTATTTTGAAACCGCTCTATCGTCACACTTGAATTCAGGATTTAGAAACTACAAGCCGTATATTTTCCGCCTACGGAACACCACACATTTCTCTACGGCAATAAAGGGGGACCATATAGGGTTCCTAAAATTTAGCCGTGGATGCGTCATCCCCTTAATGTGTCTACTTCTACTGTTCACACCGACCTTAGCCAATAATTGTTAGATTTTTATTGGTATGTAAGTGATGCAGGACAATACGTCTGCGGGTAGAAGGGCGCTCAGAATCGTCTTTACGGAAATCACCCGTTGTGAAAGTGAGCCCGTAAGGCACAACGGAACGAGTGCATTCCGAAGAGACGATCAATGGGCGCTCCTCTACCATTCTAATATCCTCGATCGCAACCGACAGGACAGGGAACCCGTAGTTCAGTGGTTAGGCCGTTGGACTTCTAACCAAGAGCTCGTGTGTTGGAGCCTCAGGTGCTCCACATTTCGGGGCTGGGTATGACTGACTGACAACTGCTAATAAGCCAGAATTGGTTAATTCTCCTTTGTCTTTGTCGATAATGCTCTTCTGCCCATAGTCTTATATTATATCTCTTTTTCTATTCTCATGTACACATCACGATGTTAAAGAGAAGAAAATGTAAACATGCTTATGTGGAGTTGAACTCCATTTGCACCTGAACAACTGATGATGTACAAAACCCCAATGCGAACTTTATGGAGCCGTCTTTTCAGACGCCCAGTTGAAGTCGCTCAAACTTGGGGAATATTTCAACGATCGACATGGTGGTACAGATTTTGCACCCGATGAATTTAAATCATTGAAAGCTAAAAGAGGTTTAGTTGACTCTCGAGCAACCCTTCCAAAATTAGATTTTGTACTAACCGAAAAACCACTGCTGATGGCTGAGTGGCAAGCGACGTATAAAGTAATCAAATGCAATAAGTCCCATGCACTTAAAGGAGTCAATGCAACCGTATGCATCAGAATAGTAGCCTCAAACAAGTCCTACTTAGTGCCCTTACCAAACTATGCTATTTAAAGACGAATTAGTGATTTAAATTTGCGAGTTGTGGATCAAGTTGTCGCTGATATTAGAGCAAGTCCCCAAAAAATCTCTCTCCACTTGGGTGAAACAAATGATGTAGCAAATTGCAGCCGACTCACTATATTGACAAGGTATGTCCAGGGGGATCCCGTAACGAAAGATGAAGATACGAAAACATCTACAGAAGAAAAATACGTTTTCCAGCATGTGAAGGACGTCTTTGCGAAGCATTACTTTGATAGCCATTTGGCGGTTCTGTATGTACTGATTGTGCCTCTGCCATGTTAGGAAACAGTTCAGGCTTTTTTGCACTATGCTAGTCCCCTTTGTGACGACATACTTGAGCGAGTCAGGATTTAAAACCGTTTTATCAATTAAAACAAAATTGTCAAATCGATTGGATGCGCAAGCATATATGCAAATAGATATAAGCAACAAATTGACATGATTTGAAAAACGTTCATTCAAAAAACAGGATAAAATGATTCACTAATTTTCTTGTTTTTTATTAAAAATTTGATTAAATATAGCTTTGTATTCGCTAGTTAGAAACTGTTTTAAGGTGTGCGAGAACATACTGGTTTTTCAGGATTGCGGTACCTAAAAGGTTTGGAAACCAGTGCCTTATGATGAAATGGAGTGATGTTGATTGTTGGAACTCCGCAGCAAATAAATCGATCGGGTGCTATGATGGCGGCCTATGACAGCTACCAGTGATTGGAGTACAGTTGCTACATAAATGAGTTGAATATGAATACTACACCAGAATCTTAAATAACCCTCATGAAGTACTCTTTAGCTGTACCCGAAGTGGCTTACCACAGGAACTTAAATTCTCGTAGGAAACAAATGGGGGGACCTTGATCCTAATTTGTGGCCTTTCGATTTGCTGGATTCCACAAAGGACCAAAATTGGTACGACTGTAGCGTCCAACTTTGTGGTCCGCGTGACGGCTTTTCATGTTCCTATTGTCCTGACTGAGTGGTTGGGCTGACAGTTGTATACACCGATCTCATGAAATGTCGGTCGAAATTCTGCTATTCGTTTTCGATTAGAAGGATTACTTAGGTGGGGTTGTAATATTAATTAGCATGCGGCACAATCCTATAGCATTTCAAACTCGCCAGGATGTCGGCTTTTAGATGCATTTTTTCTTGACGTCCTGCTGATACCGTACTCGGTAAAACATGACTACTTAAGTAGCATTCATTTTTCACATTGACTTTTGATGGTCTTATAAATTCAAATATATGTTCTAGAAAACGTGCGCAAAGATATGCTTTCATTTACTCATTTGGTAGATAACCACATTTTCTTCATATTTCATGCCAGAACATCGTGCATATTTAGGTTTTAAAGAAGATTCTAATTATGAGATTTTTAAGGCCGTACGATTTTCGCGCATGCAAGACCGCACATGCTCGTTTACTAATGCTCCTCAAAAAATGTACAACACAGTCCAGATCCATTGAAAAATTTCATGAACTCTATATGGTATCTTCTTAAAGGCAAAGAGGAATATATGATTTTCCTTATGCGGAAAGTATGCACCTTGTTGACTGAAATCGCTGGACACTGATGCAATGACAGATCAGGCTAAAAATGTTCGGGAATTGGAAAACTTTTTAAAACCTAAATATACACTTTCTTCGAGTATAAAATATCAAGACAATAAGATTTTCTATCAAATGAGTAAAAGAAAGCATATTTTTGTATACGTTTTCTAAAAAATATATTTTAATTTATAAGAACATTGAAAGTCCATGTGGAAAATGTATGCTACTTATGCAGTCATTTTTTACCAAACACTGTATCTTCAGGAGGTCAGAAAAAAGTGCATCTAAAAGCGAATCTCCTGGCGAGTCCGAAATGCTATAGGATTATGCCGCATGCTAATCAATATTACAACCCCACCTAATTAATCCTTCTTAATCGAAAACGAATTTCGTAATTTCGACCAACATTTCATGAGGTCGGTCACGCACTGTACCCGGGTTAGTTATTGCCCTATTTTCGTAACACCAACAGCCCTTCAGACAGCTCACGTTCCTCACACCGAGAGGATTAGGATTAGGCGTTCTTTTCGAGAGAATGGGAAAGGCTGTCTACCTGGACAGTGAAGCTGTGTTCTCGGAGACTGAAATTGATCCGACGGATTTACCGCGCTCAGAATTCGTTAATTAACAAATACGAGATGACACTGATGCGCTTACTTATGCTATACATATCAACTACGATTTGTATTAGTCCACAGGCGTTGATTGCTAAATTTGAATTGACATGTTAATGATGCAGGACATTACGTCTACTTATAATGAACTGGAATTCACTGGATAGCGGGGATATGGACCATTCCTCAATTTAAGCACACACTGCCGTAATAATACCGGTATTTGCGTAAGAATTCAGAACGTCAGATCTCAAATAAGACGGCAAGACCGTCAAGTCCGAACTCAGGCTACAGGCTATTTATGAGCTTTATTACAGTGCGTGACCGATCTCATGAAATGTTGGCTAAAATACTGAAGTGCGTTTCCGGTTAGGAAAGATTACTTAAGTGGGGTTGTTATACTGATTATCATTCAGAATAACCCTATAACACTCCGGACTTTCCAAAATGTCGGCCTTTGAATGAATTTCTTTTTTAGCTCCTGCAAAAACCATACTCGGTAAAATATGACTACATAAGTAGCATTCCGTTTTCCGAATGCTTTTTGATGGTCTTATAAATTCAAGTATATTTTACAGAAAACATGCACAAAAATATACTTCTTCTCATTTAGTACGAAATTACATTGTCTTTATATTTAATCCCCGATGAAATTGTATATTTAGGTTTTTAAATAGTTTCCAATATTGATTTTTTTAAAACCGTGCGATGTACATGCATGCAAGACCGCGCATGTTCGTTTACTAATACTCCTCATGAAATGCACAACACAGTCCGAATCCATTGTAAAATTTTTTGAACTCCGTATGATGTCTTCTTAAAGGCATAAAGGAATATATGATTTTCCTTACGCGGAATGCGTGCACCTTGTAGACTGAAATTGCTAAACGCTGATGCAATGGCAGATTAAGCTGAAAATTATTCGGGAACGAGGAACTTTTTTAGAAACCTAAACATACACCTTCTTCGGGGATAAAATATAAAGACAATGTGATTTCCTACCAAATGAGCAAAAGAAAGTATAACAACCCCACTTAAGTAATCCTTCCTAATCGGAAACGTATTCCAGAATTTTGGCCAACATTTCATGACATCGGTCACTCACTGAAGCTGGGAAAAACCATTTTTGACCGCCTACGTAAAGAATGCTTTATGACTGCCGAGAAGAGCCCTCAAGTTTGGACATTAAGTTCGTTCCAAACTAAGAGTACCTTAAAAAATTTTGACGAGCAGGAACGCCTTCCTTTCCGTGAGATGTAAAAAAACTTTAACGCCAAAGACAAACGTGCGCAGCGCATTGAGGACTACTTACCTTAAATCATTTTTGCTATTTCCAGAACAAGAAATTTCTTACGCGCCTGTGGAAAAAGGGTGCAAAGATGTCATAGAATCCATCGAAGGGCTTCTAACGCAGTCCACTTTAAGAGGTTAAAAGTGCGAAGACATTTTAACCTGCGTGGATGACCATTTTGGGCTTGGTTTGCGTACCATACAAGCAGGTGACAATAGAGGCATTCTCTTTTTTCCTTCGTAGAGAGATTTTTGGGCAGACATATTGGGCAGTTTTGCATGTGGGTGTCGAAGTAGCGAAGTTACGTAAACGACCGTGACTGTGGGATGTGATGCGTACTGGATTGCGTGACTTAAAGGTCATCCTGCTACCGCTTCCGCCTTGAAAGCAGACGCATTATCTGGCCCCTAAGTGCCTGGTGTTGACGGAATGGCCACCCTAGGTGATGAAGTACGGTGCGTGGAAGAGACAGTTTAACAGCTCCATCCTCCCTCTTGCTTGGAATAGTGGCACCATCTGAGCCTTTGGTCAAAATTTTCAATGCAAATTCGCATACACACACCTTAAAATCTGTGCATACTATTTGCGTAGTGTTAAAATAGTCCAATTAAACAGTGAGTGACCAATCTCATAAACTGTTAGCCGAAATTCCGAAATGTGCTTCTGATTCTGGAGGATTACTTAGGTTGGATTGTTACATTGAGTATCTTGATGCCCAGTCTTATTGCTTTTCGAACTCGCCAGGATGTCGGCTTTCGAATGTATTTCTTTTCGACCACCTGCAGAAACCACGCTCGACAAAAATTGACCACACTGATTTTCGATGGTCTCATAAATTCGAATATATTTTGCAGAAGACACGCACATATTATGCTTCCTTTTATTCATTTGGTAGAAAAGTACGCTGTCTACACATTTGATACCCCAATAAAGAGTGTATTTAGGTTTTGAAATATCTTCCCTATTCCCGAATAATTTTGAGCCTAAGCTGACGTTGCACTAGTGTTAAACGAATTCAGTCTACCAGGCGCATGCTTTCCGCGTAGGGAAAATCATATATTCCCCTATGCCTCTAAGAAGATACCATACAGATTTCATAAAATGTTGCAGTGAATTCGGACTATGGTATACATTTCATGAAGAGCATCAGTAATACAACAGGTACGATGCCGTACGAAAGGACATTGCACGTTTTTAAAAATCGCATAATTAAGATTCTTTTCAAAACTTCAATGCACTCTTTATTAGGGTATAACATCGAAAGACGGCATAATTTTCTATCAAGCACGTTTACGACAAAATATATTCGACTGTATAAGACCAACGACAGTCAATGTGAAAATGGATGCTAAGTAAGTAGTCATTTTTTTGCCGAGTGCGGTTTCTACAGGAGGTCAAAAAGAAGTGTATTCAAAAACTGACATTCAGACGAGTTCAAAAAACTATAGGACTCTAATGAAAGGTAATCAATATTACGATCCCACCTAAGTTATCCTTCCTAATCGAAAACGCGTTTCAGAATTTCGCAGGCATCTCAAGAAACATGATTTGAGGTCAATTAACGGTAGCAGACTTAAGTGGATAAATGTGTGACGCTGGTCTCCCAGTTCGTTTTCAGGCGTTGAGTAAATGTGCTAAAACGTTTAGCCTTTCAAACCTGTTTTAAAAAATCGATACCTGTTCGGCGTTTGCGCCAGTAAGTGGCCGCCGTTTGCGTCATTATGCATTGATACGTTCCCCTCTCCTTCATATTTCCTTGCGATGTCTGAACGTGGCATCTAAATCAATACGCCCGAAACAGCACCCACGTCCTCTGTCGTCCCTCGTCTCTGATATTTTAATTTGGCCGACTTTGGCTTCTAATTTGGTTGCCTGTTCCTGACCTTGGCCACCCATACGCAGCAGGTTTGCCTCAGGAAGTCAATAGATCGGTGTGCGAATATTCCTGCTCATCATTTTAATTAGAGAAAGAAGAAAAGGCGATTTCATGGACGGAGTTGTATTCATACAGACGTTTTGGAAACTCTCTCGTTTTCATCATAAAAGTCGTTCGTTGGCCTTGATTTGTTTAGCCTTGCTGCCTGCCTCGTATCATAACCGTGCTCGATGCCCATAGTTTTACCTACCCGCTGGGTGTAGGCTGGTTCCGGCCTTTCCGATTTTGACCATTGACGAACTTGAATGAATAGATGCGAAGAGACGAGTCCCAGGAAGTAGTCTTGAGGGAGGCGACACGATCGCTGGGACAAGAGCTTTATTAGCCTGACGTTTCGGATTCCTGCTCGAAACCATCATCAGAGACAAAAGCAGATAAGGGGCATAAGGGGCTGCAGCATTTATAGGATGCGTCAAAGCGTCTTAAGTCAGGACACGTCTGACTCGGTCTTGAATCTGACTGCAAGACTACGTTTTGCAGACGCGCAGCCCTGTCAGAAGCATAAGGTTCTGTCATAAAATTGCAGAAAAATCCTGTTAGTTATCGCACCTCATGCGTGCTGACTGTTCTTACGTGAACTGTGGCCGTACAGGCCGACACCTTGAAGTTTGCATTAATGGACGCAAGCTGGCCGGCCGTCAGTCGGCACGGCACCTTGCCTCCGGCTTTTTTTGCGTGTCTACTCGAAAACGACCACCACTTCAATGGGGATACCGCTGAAATCCCAGCCGCCTGCGACTAAAGCAGGATTGTCCTGAGAATTTCTCGAGGTCTGATAGCTTAGTGCAGACACGACCAATCATCTTGTCTGCCAACTGTATGCGCTAGGTATAAAAGAATGCTTAAAAATTAAGCATGATTAGACACCAGTGTGCCCACTGAAATGTCCTGAGCAGTTTTCTCTAATTTGGTACACGAATGTGCCCCGTTGTCAAACAACACAGACGACTGACCCATGTTTGACTGCCTGGCCGTTCACGAAGCCGCCCTCCTCGCACATCAGCCACGCAGGAATCTAGCCTCATCTGACCACGTCTCGTTGTTGGCATGTTCCGAAATTATGAGAAGCAGGCTATTTTTGTCGGATGAGTCGGCGTCAGTCCAAAAGAAAACGCGAAAACCTCCCGGCTTGACTAGGATAAGGCCAAACTAGGAGCATCAGCAGCCCCGTTCTCGCACATGTTGTTGGCTCCGGGAATCGTGTGGACTCAGCGAAACTTTTGGCGTGATTTTTATGGTCCCATCGAGCTCCCCCAGGGTCCTCGAACAGCACCTGTTAGCAACAGCAGTAGAGGTCCTCATCAGGTTACGGAAAACAGTCTTGTGCGCTCAGAAGGACCACGTTCACGCTCCGCACCCACCGTTGTCGAAGGTCGACTAACGCTGCAACTCTCTGCGCCCTCCCTCTCCCACTCCGTCCCTGACGTTGACTGGTATTACCACCCTTTCCACTTTTCCGCACCCGCCTGTGGTTTTAAACGAACTTCAACCGATTTCTCTTTTTATTGACATGTTTTTTTCTGTCCCGTTCCCATATAACTGTATTAACCCGATGAGTATTTATTGAAAGCAAACTGGTGTTCTGAACACTGACAGGGAAATTTCAGCAAACCTTATGAGGATAACTCAGTTTATCTGAGGGAGGGGAGAAGCTCGCCTCTTGTCACAAAATATAAGCGAAATTCAAATGGTGAGCACGTCCCGACTCTCTACTGACTTTACTAAAATGGCCAGTGAGTATCGTTCGGTTCCTATAAGAAGGTAGATGACGTAAAACAGCTCCTTCAACCAATGTAAAATATGTCCTTCTTCAGTAGCTTGTGGGGTTAAACTTTCGAGGGTCATTGGGAAAATTTTTCACGACGAGCAACTTTTATTTGGAGCGCACGTTTTGGAATATACTTTCTCTACTGATAAGCTTTCTAATGATAAACCAGTAGTATTGTGTACTTGAAAACAAGTTAAGGATGTAGGTTACGCTCCGTTTAAAAATGTATTAGAGCGCAGTTCAACAAATAAACTTAGAGCTAAGTTGTACTGTATTACTGTCGGCTAGTGAAATTATCGAAACACGCAGATTTTGTACTGAGCCGTTTGACATTCGTTTCCTACGATGGTCACCGTGTACTCTACAGCACTAGGAGCTCAGCGACAGTGACCTGCGCATGAATTAGTTTGTAGTGGTGGTACCATCTGCGTCCTCTCACGCCTCCGATTTTCTTGACTCTGTCTTGACACTGTGTCCAGGTGGGGAGTACGGAAGAGAGAGTATGGTAGATAATGCGCAAGTCTACTACCGCTATAAACTAATTCACGCACAAGTTACCGTGCCTGCTGCACATTGCTGTGTACCACACGGTGGACATCGTCGGAATCGACGGCCAAACTCTCAGTGGTGGTAGACTTGCGCAGCACCCACCACATTCCCGCCTCCTCCTCCTCCTCCTCCTCCTCCTCCTCCTCCTCCTCCTTCTCCTCCTTCTCCTCTTCCTCCTTCTCCTCTCCCGCGCACATGCACGCAGTGTCAAGGCAAAGTCAAGAAGACCGGAGACGGCCAAATTGCCGAACCTTAATGCGTGCCACCACAGCGGCGCGGATCCCACTGGGTGGGAGCTCCTTAAAAGACCAGACAGAGGAGGGGCCATTGCAGCCTGACTCCCAGTCCACCAAGCGGCCATCTCGCACAAGCACAAAACTGGGCTGACTGCAAGTTCCGAATTATCTTCTCAGATGGCGGCCTTTTAAGCCACGGCTATTAGCACAACATGATAGCTTCAAGCGCGTCATATTTGGGAGAGAGAGATAGGTTTTATTTTGGTAGTGTCATTGAAAAATGTTTATTAAAAAGGCCTCCATCCAAAGTGAATAAACTGGGTACACGAGACAGATAACACCAGACGACCACAAGCCGAAAACTGCAACTGTCGACATCATGAAGAATCGTATGTGAATGAATTGCTAAATTCGAGTCAGATTTGACTTTCCTTAAGTCGGGTGCAAATGTAGTGCTCAGATGACCTCACTGCCCGCCTCGATGCGTCGAGCTGTATTTCGAGCTCGGCATGGACTCTCCCACCCTGGGATTCGAGCCTCTTAAAAGCTCCTCGCGGAAAAGTTTATCTGGCCTGGCATGAACAAGGGCGTCAAAGCTTGGGCTCGGTCGTGTCTGAGCTGCCAGCTCAACAAGGTGCAGCGTCACAACAAGTCCCCACTAGGCACTTTCCTCAGCCCTGACCTACGCTTCAGCCATGTGCAGCTGGATGTCGTAGGCCCCTTGCCTCCATCCAATGGTTTCACCTCCTTACCTGTGTCGATCGATATACCCGCTGAGCTGAAGCCATTCCTTTGACAAATGCGCGGCCTGAAACTATCGTGAAGGCCTTCGTCAGTCGTTGGGTCGCCATGTTCGGTGCCCCATCCACGGTTACGACTGATCGTGGTGCCCAGTTTGAGTCTGCACTCTTCCAAACGCTGGTTAATTTCCTTGGTTGTACACGCATTTGGCGACAGCCTACCACCCAGCTGTCAACGGTATGGTTGAGCGTTTCCATCGCCAGCTAAGGCCCGCCCTGCTGACCGTAGAAGACCAAGGAAACTGGTCAGACAAGCTTCCTCTTGCACTCCTCAGCATCCGCGCAGCTCTGAAGTCGGATCTGGGCTGTAGCGCGGCTGAATTGGTTTTCGGCACTACCCTCGGACTGCCAGGCGAGATGATCACTCCAACCTCTCGCGGGGTCAACGAGACTCATGAAAATTTTATGCACCGTTTGCGGTAATTTATGCGCTCGCTTTTCCGGTTCCACCTCAAACTTCAACGACTGAGTCTTATGTCGAAAAAGACTTGGACAACTGCACTCATGTGTTCGTCCGGTGTGACCGTGTGCGCCAACCACTGGAATCTCCAAACGAGGGACCGTTCCGCGTGTTTGAGCTCAACGCCAAGACATGCCGGATTCTTCGCAGTGACAAGGAGGACGTGGTCAGTGTCGATTGGGCCAAGGTTGCTGTTGCAGAAGAGCCGCCGGACCTGTCACAAGAAGAAAAGTGTGCTGACCCCCTAATCCGTGTTCCTCCATCTTCACTATCACCAGCTTATTCACCTTACCCACTCCCTCCCCCTTTCTCTCCCTTGTCCTGTACCCCTCCGTCCCGCATACTTCCTCTTCCTCCATGTCTACAGCATCCAACTGCGCAATCATCCTCTACCATAGCACGCAGTTAGTCCTCTTCGACTGTACCTCCTGCTTACATCACTCGCAGTGGCCGTCACGTTCATTTCCCCGATCGTTTGGTTACGCATTTTTTCTAGACTTATGCATATCCTCCGGCGCCGTATTACATCGCCATTTGGCCTAGTAGAGGGATACCTGTGCCGAGGTATCCGAATAATTTACCTTTGACAATTTAGTCCCGTTTTCTTTGCCCGGATTGCTTGTTTGAATGTGACGAAAAACGACACACCTGTACAGCCCGCTTTATTGGCCTGCTTAGCTGTCGTGCTCTGTTGTCAGGTAACTTAACGTTTAACATTTTCGTATTATTCACTGGTCGGTTTCACTTGTTGCCTTTAAGGCTAAGGGCTCGTGAGATATAAGTAGTTGGTTCGTGAGACCCTTACCATTTACGTCAATTCAGCTTGTCCGCCCTCTGTACAGTCGCCAGGTGGACCTGCAGTCTTTTGTAGAATTTGTCCATTGTCGTATCGGAGCTGGTCATTAAGGGGACATAAACGCTGATCGTGGTGACGAATTTGGTTCATCGTAGAGGTAGGATGTGGCTCATTAGGCGGTCTTTAATGCCCTGTAGCAGACAGTGCAGCCTTCCCGTGATGTCGTTTCGGATGGCAAAGGCGACGTCGGCGTTGCATCGCTCTGCCTTTTAGCGGAACCTGCCTTGTTTGGAGAAGCGCGCCAGTTCTCCAACAATTAACGCCATCCTACGTCCCAGCCGGTTACTCCTCGAATTGACAGAGTTAGCAGATTCACCCTAACAGCATGCGGGATGGAGAGCAATGAAGGGCTAGATCGCAGTTGGTAGCCAGGAATGTGGAAGCGGACGGCGACCTTAACCCTAATCCTAAAATTAACCCTAACCCTAACCATAAACTTAAACGTTAACCGTTAGCCCCAACGGCGAACTTAACCCTACCCCTAAGCCTTATCGAAATCGTAAACGTAACCGTAGCCCTTAGACATAGACCTATCTATAAAACCTAGCCGTAACACTGAAACCTAGTCGTAACCTCAAACCCTAACCGTAACCCAAAAACCTAAGCCTTAAGGGCATAACCCTAACCCGAAAATCGGACACCATTAACCGTTACCCTAATCCCAACCTCAAACGTAAAATGGACGCCAAATGGGTCAGAGGTGATTATGTAGCCCCACAAAAAGCCCCAGTAAACAAACCCCCAGCCACCTGTAATACGGGGCCTGGCTACCAACTGCGATCTAGCCCAATGAAGTGGGGGAAAAGGTTGTTATTGTACTTTGTTGTTCTTCCACGGCGAGCTTGCAAGTATAAGTCCCGGTATACTTGCAGATTTCGGGTTTCCCAGCATCCGTCTAGGGCACATTTCTAGCTCCTTCCCTGCGAGAGCTAAGCACTACCATCCCTGAATAGTACTACTTAAGCATCCCAGGCGGTCGCCGAATTCCAATAAGAATGACAACTTCTTTTTAGTGAAGAGTGACCCGTGTTAGCCTGAAGCGTCTACGCCATTGCATTTCGCCCTCTCCGTAGGACTTTTTGAAGTGGAAGGGGGAAGGAGTAGAGATGAGAGGTGGATTATTCGGTGCGGGAACCCACAACACCGAATATCCTCATCTGATTTAGCCCGCCGGTCGGCACGGTTATCACAACCCGTGCAAGGATGCCGTCCGAGTTGCCTCCCCATACACCACGTTCATATAGTATGCTCACCGTTAACACCTCAAAGAGGGGGCATCTAATAATCTCCTCTGCTAGCTTTCTCATTTATTTGAAAATTAGTTTGTGCAAATTTACAGTAAAGTCTCAGGGACAAACTTCTTCTGACTCGACCGCGCAGGAATTCCGCTGGATCAACACACCGGGCTACATCTGGGTCCAGGGTGTGTTGGCACGCCTAGGCACCGGATCACGTCGCGCCAGCCGCCTGCGCCTGCGCCCACTCCCGTCTCCGGTCTCTTCTCGACTCTGTTATGACACGAGACCAAGGTGGGTGAGGGGGGAGACAGTACGGTAGATGCTGCGCAAGTCCGTGATCACTATAAACTAGTCCACGTGCAAGTCACCGTCTCTGTGCCCCCCCCCCTGATGTGGGACACACGGTGGACATTGTCGGTAATGACGGCTGAACTGTCAAGTACACAAATGCTGATCGATTTAGCCCGCCTATTATATGAGATGGCCCTGTTCAGACTAAACTTCATAAACATCAGCGGAACAACGGCGTATTACTCCTGGTCTACTCACGAGTAGTCAGTAGTATTCAACTACCAAGTGACTTAACGCACTAATAGTGAGTCAAACAGACGCAGAAAATCAGTGAGACACATGTGTTTGGACTTTTAGTTAGCAGCCCTCATGGGAGATTGGCGAACCAGCCAATCTCCTCTGTTTCTTCCTCATTACAGAACATTTCTTAGAGGGTTACAAATGGAACGAGGTCTCAGGCCAGAATTTACAAATACCTAAGTTTTGATTCGATAGCAATAACAGTGGCATGCCTAGATACTCAATCGTCAGCTCGATGTGAAGCAGTTTAACCCGCTGGCTATCGACAGTTAGGTCTGAGGATTAGTCTACGACTACTTTGATTCAGAACGTCCCAGTTAGACCTCCCTGACGTTCATAACAAACGTCCTACTCCTGCCTCTGGTACGATAGTGACGCAATATGTGGTAGACTGGGCGGAGGCCAAATTTGTGAGGGTCGATTAAACTTGGCTCTGAGAAGGACCGGTTGACGACTGCAAAATGGCCGTTTCTGTTTGTTATCCCCCCAAAACTTACCAATTATTAGTTACTGGCCGACCGCCTGTGAGAGCTCTGGAACGGAACTCCTGCCCAAAACGGAAATCCCCATTAATGTGCAGTTATTAGGGAAAAGCGGTGAATGCAGCTGCCTTGGGACTTCGGCATTGCTCCGCTACCAGGGCGAGGCAGCGAAATGTGTTCCAGCTTTTTTAAAGTGTAAAAGGCTAGAATTAAAAAAGTAGGTACGACGGAAGTGTCCTTTTGCGCAGTCCATTTATCCATCTGACTCTCCAAACTTTGAGTTAATGTAGAAGGTGGGTAGAGAGGTTTAATATCTATTTTTTTAAATTTTCGCTGATCTAATTGGCTGTTAGTGGAAGGCGATTACGCGGTTCCGCGGTGGGGGTCAGCGGAGGAAAGGTTCCATTGGCAGGTAGGTCGACCAATGGCCTACGTGTGGGTTAAAAACACTTGTTCGAGCTCTCTGACAAAATCGCATGCGCTATTACTCACTACCAGGGGTCATTTCAGGGTGGGTGGAGGTTGGGACTTTGT